ATCTTTTATTATAACAATTTAAATAAAAATTTCAGGACCATTTAGTAGTCAAGAAATGAATGAATGGTATAAAGGAGGATTTTTTGTACTTAGTCTCTTAGTTAAAAGGGTGGAAGATGCTGCATTCGAACCATTAGGTGCTTTAATTCGAAAAACTGGTGATGATGATAGACCTTTTTCCGCACCAATTATGGGCAATAGGCCATCTTTAACGATTGCAATGCCAAATAATAATAATTCTTCGCGGTTGGTAAATGACCCATTTCAACGAACTTGGGGTGCACCTAATTCTCCTAGTACTGCACAATTGTTTTTAGAGCATCAACAAAGATTTAATCCGTTTGGTGGAACAACATCTGTACCAACAACACCGTTTGACAGATATCAATTTGGTGGGGTGTTTGGGCGTAACGAAGTTTCAAATGGATGGAATGATTTGGGAACAACGAACACTACATGGGGGCCATCCGATAATTACACATCTAATGGTGGTAATCTTTCACCTCGTTTGCAAGCTCCAAATTCTCCTCCATTATTCAACAATAATACGACGTTCAATGTGTCACCACCACAGACTTATTTGGAACATCAACGACAAATCGAGAGACAACAGTACCTAATGCTACAACAAAGGCAATTACAGCAACAAAATCAACATGCCTATCCGGACACGTTTATTCGTCAACAACATCAAAATTATGTTGGTTTATCTGGACCAGTCTCAGCGCCAATTACAAATACGCCAAATTCTCCATTCATTGATGTTATAACTCGAAATTCAGGTTGGTCAACAACGGCAGAACAACAGCCACCCCCAACTTCACCGTGGGGAATAATAGCACCTGGTGTCGGTGCAACACCTTCTAGAGCTCAACAGTCGGAAGATTCGGGATATTTTAATATTAGAAAAGAATCTAATTTTGGTTTACAACAATCGACACATCATGAACGATTACAACCCCGTAATAACGAACGATCGTATGAAGTTGTTGGTGGACAAACTCAAGAACCTATTTATGAGAATAAAGCAATTAACGAAGTTTTTAATGAGGTTATTGAGTCAATGTCAAAATTAACTCCGACAGATGAACAAACCAACTCAAATAAAGCCGATGTAAAATTTAATAATGTGGATAAAATAGAATTATCACCAAAATCTAAATTAGAAGAATCTTTACCTCAGTCAACACAAAAGGAAGAATCGTTACGTCCAAAACCTTCTTTTCGTGAAATTCAGGCAGAAGAAGAACGTAAAAAACTGCACGAGGAAAAAGAAAAGGCAACTGTGATCCCTGTAGTTTCCACAAACAACGTCGCTGGTAAATTACCACAACCATTAAAACCATCAAATTCAGCATGGATGAATAATAGTCCTGTAACCCCATCTTCACCTGCACCATGGGCCAAAGATGATGATCATCCAACTCACAAAACGCCATCCTTACGCGAAATTCAAGAAATGGAAACTAGAAAAGCAGTTGAAAGAAAGGCTTCTGTTGTAACTGCAAATTCATATGCGTCTGCTCCTTTTAAGGATGATACGACAACCTCATCCACTACTTCCTGGGGTATAATTGTTCCACCATCATCTAACGAATCTGACTCGTCTTCACTTTCTACTTCACCTGTTGTGACCACTCCAGCTTGGCAATCAAACAATACTGCTCCAAAAAAGACTTTTAGAGAAATTCAAAAAGAGGAGGAGGAAGCGATGAAAAAACGCAACAAGATTCGTGAAATGCAACAACAGGCATTAATTAGCTCTACCACAACGGGTGGAACGACTGCCCAAAATAACATGGGAAAGCGATATGCTGATACAGTTTCCGTTGGAAATTCAAATGTAAATTCTAAGGTTATTTATTATATTTTTATTTAACTATAATTATCCTTATTCATTTATTTTTGAATATTTTAATATCAATCATAACAGAAGTCATCAACAAACTCGGTGAATGCCTGGACAACTGTCGCAAATAAAACGTCTGCTCGTGTCACTACTACTCCAACGAATCTTGGTTTAAACTCAAGTAGCGTATTACCCGGTGCAACAAAAACCAACATAGCTTCTAAAGAAACTTCTATCTTAGATTCAGAACACAAAGCGATTAATGGATTAAGGTGATTCATCAGGTTACCTGAAATCTAAAATTATATGATATTAAAAGCAATTATTTTATACATATGATTCTAGATCTGTAAACCAATCTGCAAGGCCCGTCGAGACTTTAAAAAGCAATAACAAGACATCTGTTAATATGGGTATATCCAAACCTATAACAACTAACAGTACCAATAATAACAGTAGTGGTAATGTCTCCGAATACTCTACACCACGGCCACCTTCCGAAGAATTTTTAAAATGGTGCAGAAATGCCTTACGTGGATTGAATAACGTAAATGGTATATATAAAAAAATTTTTTTATTCATTCCTGTTTTATGCAATTTTTTTTATAAATTATATTTAATTAATATTTCATTTTATAAAATATCGTTTATAACAAAAGTTGATGAGTTCATTCAGATGCTATTAACTTTTCCACTTGACCCACCCCCAGCAACTATCGAAATTATTCAAGATTCTATATATGCTAATTCACCAACTTTAGATGGTCGTCGATTCGCTGATGAATTTATTAAGAGAAGGAAAGCTGATGCAAATGGATTACCTATAAGCAGTTTATTAAGCCATCATATAGATAGTAAACTAAACAAAGATCTTATAAATGGAAATGGTACAAAGGATGATTATACAGGGAATGGTGCAGGTGCTTTTAAAGTTGTAACAACTAAAAAGGGTAAAAAAAATAAGCATTAAAATTGACATTGCTCTAGATAGACAATTTATATGGTAGAATTTAGGTCTTTCCATCATCTAAAAAAAGATCTAATGTTATTTATAGAAACTTGTTGATTTATCCTATGATTAGGAGTAGTAATAGCAAATATAATGTGATGAATTTAGGTTACTAAGTTAAATACATAAATATACAGTATTATGTATTGCATTGAATTAAACTGTTCATATTATATTTCTTGTAATTTAAAAGTATCAAATTATCTAGTAATATCTATTTGAAACTCATTTACAAACAATGCAACAACGCGATCAAATAAATCGATAAATTTTATAAAACTTTCTAAATCCCCTTCATTGAAATGAACAGTAACTGCACCTAAAATAAAAACGCAAAGAAGGGACCTAAATGAAAATATACACTTGGTTAGGATTGGTTAATTTCCCATATATTTAAAGAATGAACTAATAAACTAACCAGTAGAGTGAACATCCCGCAAATGTTGGCCCTATTAATGCGGCTAAATTCAATAATGGATGTACATTTTGACCGAATTTACCGCCATCCATTTTATCCATTATGGGATGTTTGCTTAAGTTTGCGATTTGTTCCTGAATTTTTCCTGTTTTTATCTAAAATACAAAAACATAATTAAAGTTATTATTTAAGATTAACGGTAATAAATGATAATACTATTAGAAACTAGAATATTATTAACTTTATCAATTATGAAATCAAGAGCTTGATCATCTGCATTAATCTTTTGGTTCATAACTTCTAAATATTTTGTAATTCTTCTTTGTAATAATTTAATTCGATCCAATACTGCCACCTTACTATCATTCATCCACGTGCCATAAGAACAAGCCATCATTAATGGTGAAACTACATCTGAAATGGATTTAATAAGTAAATCTTGCGATTCAACAAAATCAGAAAATAAATTACTACGAATTAAAGTTTCTTTATCAATAACTATCCATTGAGGATTTTCTACGATTTGAATAATATCATCTTCAGGAAGGTAATTAACAGAAAGGTCATGATCATATTGATCATCAGAATCAATAAAAGAAGATTCTTCAGGTTCAGAAAGAATACTTGATTCTATTAAAGATATTTCCCTTTCATATGCACTAAAAAGTTGTTTTTCAGTATTAACTGCTACCCAACCTAACTCGACTGATCTATCCATAAATAATTTAGAAAGCTCTGAAATAATTTCTTTGCCTTTCATGATTTCACGAAATCTCTTATGCATTTTATCTAACGTGCTAGGAGGGTGATTTAAAGGTGAGGTACCGGTAAGACGGTGTACATCATAATTAGCTCTAGTCTCTGCATTCCCCAGAATATTATAAGCTTCGTTGATTGAAATAAAGTGTTCGTTTACCGTAGTATTTGACGTAATAACACGTTGTTTTATATTTTTGTCTGGATGATATTTTAATGCTAATTTTCTATAGGCCTTTCTAACCTCTTGTTCTGGAGCAGAAGGTGAAATTTCTAATATTTGATAATAGTCAGGTAAAGTTTGAGATTCTGTAAGACAGCTCATGTTTTTTTCAACTTGTGTGAATATTTTGCTGTTCTGTAAAAGTATAACGTATCCGGAAAATGTGTGTGCCACAGTGGCTAGATAGTCAATTATTTATATTAAAAACTCGGAGTTTAACCTGCGTTTATGAAATACTCTAAAAATCTAAAAAATTTGACCACCGATAGTGAGTCAATTTAATTGACCTAGATATAAAAAACATGTAATTTATTAGCGTTAGCGTTAGAGTTTAATTGATAATACATAAATATGCACTTGTAATATTTGTGATTTAAACTACGATATCGATATAGTTAAATATGTCGTAAAGTTTATTTAAGATTTATGTAGGTGTATTAAAATGATATTGTATATAAATTTCATATAAATTAAATTGGAAGTAAAGTCTGAAAAATAATGAATTATTATCATAAGATGAAACATTCAAATAAAAATTTTATTTTATTCAAGGAAAAAAAATGCAAAGTGCCATTACTATAATTCTTATTAAGCACGTGGCGAACTACATCTAATGAAGGCCTGAAGATATTAGCAATTATTACATTTATATATTAAGGTTTCTCTGAAAGAGAAAACAAAAAAAAAACTATTTGTTTTAATTTGATTTGATTTTTTTTATTGTCAATTATAATAATTGGTACAATTTACACTGAAAATAATAACAATATAATTTTAATATTGAGACGTCTAAAATTATAATATTAATTTAAAGAAACAATTAATCTAAATCATAGGGACTATTTAAAAAAAACATGATGAATAATCAATCATTGTGATTAAAATATTTAATCGAATTTCCATTAGCCACCGTTTTCAATAATTTCACTTGATTAGCCACATCTCTTAAAGCACCAAGAACAACTCCATTCCCTTTCACGAAACCGTAAATGTGATATTTAATTCCTACTTCTTCACAAAATTCTTTAACCAAAGGCTGACAGGACCTCAAGTTATGCCTTGGAATACGTGGAAATAAATGATGAACAGTTTGAAACTGTAAACCACCATGAAACCAATCCATCCACCAAGGACAATCAACATCCATTGTTGTTCTACACATCCTGCGTGGAAAAGATTCTAACGGACCATATTCAGTAGTTGACATGCCAAAGTGAGAAAGAGTGATTTGCACGTGTAATATCATTGTTGTCATATGAGAGATTAGAATGTAGAAAATTATAATAGGAATAGAAGGAAGGTAAGAAAGTAGGTAAGAAAACCAACACCAAAACAAAATCATGCAAGAAATTTCTAAATTTCTAAAAATAGCATTTGCTCCATCATATAAATAATTTATTGATAAAGCATAAAGATTAAATCTGCCAAAACACATTATAATGTAATATAAATAGTGTTGATAAGAAACGAAAAATTTAGCAAAAATGTCGAAATGAAGGGTTCTTTTATAAAAACTTGAATAAGGGTTTTTAAAAAATTTAGTTGATATAGCAAAAAATGGTAAATGTTGGATATCAGGATCATGTTCGGGATGATTAGTTATAATATGATGAACGTAATGATTTTTTTTCCACCAACCAATACTTAATCCACCTAGAAAATCAGCTATGAATATTCCAATTAAATAATCGACATATAGGTTGTGAGTAATTCCACTATGACCAGCATCATGAGCGGTAAATGCCAGTTGATGCCAAAACAAACCAAGGCATATTGAACTTATAAAATAATGAAAAGTTGTAGTTCCATATAAAACAAAGTACCAGGCTATTGTTATCAGAATAACGTATCGAACTGTTTCATAAGCATAATTCCAATAATTACAATTGTATAATCCACGTTCTTTTATTTTGGATTCCAATCGTCTAAATGCCATTGATATTGACTCCTCTTTAGCTAATGTTAACAATAATTCAGGTTCGTTCGTTGATGTTTGAGAGTGAATTATAATTTCTTCTGAATCATCGAGAACATATTCACCAATATAAAAATTCTTGATTTTATTATTGATTACATAATCGGGATGTAAAACATTGATGGCATCTGTAGCATCTTTGCCAATCATATTAAGAATTGCACATTCACCACCTGGATGATACTTTATCCATTTATTAAGTTTATAGACTTTATTGTTGTATATTATTAGTAATTGACCATTTTGAACGCGTTTTTCAAACTCCTGTTTTGTAAAGTAATTTGGGTGACTAGTGACTTCAGCTGGCAGTGGCGACATCTCGTTACACCAACGTGATCCGAGACTAATAGCCAAGTTAATATTTGTAATGAATAATGTCCGTTAACTTCTTTTTTTTTTGTTGACGTGAAAAGAAAGAAAACGCCGAGGCGAGAAAAAAAAAAAAAAAAGCCACATTCTATCAATTTATACAGCGCACAAAAAATTATCAAGATAAAATCTAGATTCGTGTACCATTAAATATATAATGTATTTTAATTTATTTGTATATATTTAGTATTCCAACAAGATGGCTTTGCTTGGTCCATCAAAAAACGTGCTCAAATTTAACTTATCCATATGAAGATCTGCACGCATAGCATCAAGTAATTTTGTCGGAAGGAGCTTTTACTAAATGTTTGTATATTTTTACGTATTATACTGTATGTTAAATTCAAGCCACTATATTGTGTATTTCAAATCTCGGCAATTACGATTACGTAAGTTTTAAACTATCAGCTATGCTAAATCGGCGTATTTATTTCAGATAGTTACACTTGGTGCCGATTGATATCAAATTATTTTGATCGGCATTTTATGCTTTTTTTGTAGAGAATTTGAAATTACCTTGGCTAAAGATCTAGTTAAATGTTAATACACAGTCTAGAGATGCTCTGAACAAAATCTAGATTTAAGTGTGTGCTCCATTTCTTGATATATAAAAAGTTTTAATGCATAGTGTTATAGTTAGATGAGGGGCTCGATATTTTTCAGGGATTCAAAATTTTATCATTTTCAATATTAGGCTATACAAAGTTAATTTTTTGGTTCTCATAACCCGGCCGGGTCACTTTCTCTAAAAATTAAATTTGTTTTTATTTACATATAATTAAATTTTTTTTGTCAATATACAAAAAAAAAAAAAGAATTTTAATTATGTAAAAAATTTTTTACATATAAAATTTTTTACCCGGCCTGCCGGGCCATTTTTTTTATTTCATGTTATTATGAGAACAAAAAAATTAACTTTGTATAGCCTTTGCTTTAACATACCGAAATGTTTTTTTATCAATTATAATGCTAGAATCATCAAGCAAAGTATAGTCTTTGTTAGGATTCTCGCAGTCAAATCCGCTACCATTAATATCAGCAAGAGTTTTATGATTCCAAAAATTAGTGTTTCTATTCTCAAAAATCCTAACTATTAATTTAATTAAAAATCTACGAACGTAGTAATTATGTACTGTAAGGTTATTTTTAAAATAAATCCATGTTATTTTATTTACAGTGCTACGATATTGTTATATTCATATTTTTTACAATATATAAAATTATAATAAATCATATAAATTACTATTACTATGTAACTTTGAAGCTTTAATTCTTTTTAATTTACATATTACCATTATCTAATTTTTTAATTTTATAACTAAATATATTAGTTATACTATTTGTCATACAATTTTTAATTGTAAATTTATTACTAGCAAATATAATATAAAATTTTATTCTAAACAAGTTTATTTTTTTTTTTTTTTTTTGTTATTAACGTGGTTTACATTGTTAAATGAATTTTATTGGTTTGATATATAGAGTTATACATGGATAATCTTTTACAGTTTATAATTACATGAAGAGTGTATAACAAGCTATACATACAACTTTAGTTATTGTCTAATTTAAGTAGTTCGCTACACAGATATTAGACTACCTGTTAGTACTACATTATATTGTCATATCTATAATCTATTTGTAAATTACTTATTTAAATATTCTGTTCAACTAATCCATACTGTTAAAAACTAATATTACTATAATATTTAACTGCTTAAGCTAGCTAGCTTATTATAGATTTAGTTATCATTTTAGCTTAGATCCTCTTAGGTTATATTATATTCAACATATTATGAATATTTGCAGAGTCAGTTAATCTTGAAGTATATCTACTAAAGTAGTTCATATCTATTTCATAAATTTACCTAGTTTAGACCCTTGTAGATATTTGTATAATTTCAGTTTCTACTATAGCTCTCTACTAGTGTATATTTTCTAATTATGCTAAGATATATTATGAGTTAGATTTTCTCAAATCTAGTTAGCTATTAAGTCAAATTGATATTACTATAATATATAATAATCTCTACTATAATACAGACTTACTTATATCTAATCTAATCAATATTTTTGAATATAGTTTTTTTTTGAATCAAGTGTTAGCTAGTATAATTATTATAAGCTATACTACTTTACTAACTCAAGGTTTTTACTATACAGATCTTCTGCTTATAGATTCTATTAAAATTTATTTGTATAATATTTTATTTTTTTAAACATTACATCATACTTCTAATATTTAAATAATATTAGTATAATGTGATTTATAGGGTTATAACTTTAAAAATGAATAGGGTTTACTATAAATTAAATACAAAAGTCTAGGTAATTATTCAAATTTATTAACAGTAAGATTTGAATTCTAAACCTCTTGTATAGTAGTCTAGCAATCTAACTACTATATTAAAATTACTAAACTTTTCTAAATAAATTTATTTAAAAGACAAAAATAAATTATTTTAGTAAAAAAAATATATATATATAGTGTTATAGATAATAGTCTTCTTAATATATTATATATAATAGTAATATAGCTTTTTATTGATTTTAAAAAGTAGTATTCAAGAAAAATATTTTTTAACTAATTATAAAGATAAGTTTTATTTTACAAGATACTAGTTAAAAAGATAAAATTCAATCTCTAAGTAGAGATTGAATTTCAAATTTTTGATTAAATTTAGATTGAATTGGCCAAAAAATTTAATTTATAATCAATTTATAATTGATCTAAAAACTACTAATTAGCTTAAAATCAGTATCTGATTTTAGGTTAAATAGTTAATTTTAAAATTTAATCTAAAATCAGTAATTAAATTTAGGTTAAATTTTATATATATTTGACTTAAAATTAATTTCAAAATTTAAAGATTGATTTTAAGTTAAATATATAAAATTTAATTTAAATTCAGAGTCTGATTTTAGATCAAATTTTAAAATTAACTATTTAACCTAAAATCAGATACTAATTTTAAGCTAATTAGTAGTTTTTAGATCAATTATAAATTGATTATAGGTCAAATTTTTTGGCTAATTCGACTAGAATTTAACCAAAAATTTAAAATTTAACCTATGATTAGAAATCAAATTTTACCTTTTAACTAATATAAATTTTATATTAATTATATAAGTCTAGTAATCTTAGTATTATAGTTAGATTATCAGATTATTATACAAGAGGTTTAGAGTTTAAATCTTACTATCAACAACATATAAGCTAATTTATTGCACATGCTGATCATTTGTTGTGATAAAATCATAATTAATAGAAAAATAATAATTACATCTATTTTAGTATTGATTATCACTGTATCATGCTGACTTCTAATTTATTTCATTGCAGTTTTTGTTTGAAAACTTATATTCAAAAAGGTTCATTAAGAACTCATGAAATAACAAAACATAAGAATAACAAATTACTTCATAATCAATATCCTCTTTATATTCTCCTTTTTGCTGATTGTCAACAATTTTGCTCTACTTTCATAAATCTTATACAAAAACAATTGACTTCTCACTGTTCTACTCAAGGTTTAAAGCTTATAGAGTTTCCTTGTTTTGAGAATATTTTCACATTTTACTTTCGAAAAGAAGAAAGCTTTCAATATATACACTATCAAAAAAGATATAATTGTATGTTTAAGGGTCTACAAGATTATCAAAGAATTGCAAAGTTGTTTAATTTTAAAGAATAGGGAAAGACAATTAACAAAATGAGTTCAGAAACCTATGTAGTTTTTAATCAAGTAAATTTAAATAACAATATAATTGAAGAAAAAGAGGTTAAGTTTTGTTGAAAAGAGAAAGGAAAATTTTTTAAATACGGCATTATGACTTTTATTTTTGAAATTAATACTGAAACTATTGAGATTGTTAACAAATAATTTGATATTTAATATGTAACTATAAATTACTTAGTTGTTTTTATTTTATATAACTATATTATTAAAACAAATAAAATAGTATTATTTTATAAAATAGATGAATAGATGTTTTTTTTAATATGCTAAATTTTTAAAACGTTTAATAAAATGCATTTTATAATGATTAATAAATTGTATATTTCTAAATATTGAATTTTATTATAATCTATAAATTTTTTTGCTTTACAAACATTTTGGTATAATAATTCTATTCTAACAATTGCTTTAATTACTAATCTACTAATTCTATTCTAACTATTACTAACTTTACCTTAGCTTCGATCTACCCACTAATCCTAATCCTAACTTTAACAATGAACATGTACTAACAGACCCTACGCATATAACAATGAACAGACTATACTTCGCATTAGATTGTACAGCCTTCAACATACTAAGTATCAAAATGAAGTAGTACTAAAACAGAGGTTCCAGTGATGACAATACTTAAACAACAACTTTAAAAGACAACAATATAGAATTAACAATGATACTAGCAATAACAAGGATATCAACCTAGAGAGAATGAAGCGATAATGACTAACAAAAAAACAAATGAGTAGTTAGTAAAAAGAGCAAAATAAATAAATTGATATGAATGAAAAAAAAGTAAAATAACAATATAAATAACAAGTGACATCTACCATACAACGATATCAATACAATGAAGTATTATCATATGACGATTCTACTAATAGTACTACTAACAAACTCTAAATAGCGATGACCAATAATGCAACACTGAAGTACCACAAGTGAAATAGGCAATACGAAACTGAAGTACTACTATATGCAAGTACCAAAAAAATGAATTAATAAAAGCCAAATGAAGCACCAACATATGATGACTCCGAATGATAATACTAATATGGCGACTCTATAGCGAAAATAAAATATCCAAGATAGCTATAAAAAAAAAATAGATTAGTATGCAAAGAAAATGATATAAAAAAAAAACAATATGCAAACAAAAAAAAAGGATACTGATACATCATAAATAAAAAAAATTTATTAATCAGAAAAAAAAGTATAAAGATTCTGCAGATCGTACAATCGAAGATATTATATATTAACTATATATTTAAATAAATAATTTATAAATGAGATTATATCAAATCTACATACTGTCTTTATAGTACTTATTCCTTTGTATTTATATGATCAATATTTATTTTTTACTATGTATAATGAGTTGGAGTTTTGTTAACTCGGAAATATAATTGCTGATTTTTATATAAACATATATTATAAATAACAGGTAAAGTGCCTTGCCCACTACCCATTATAGTTCTGCCAAAAAATAGTTAGACCTTAAAAATATTAAAAAAGAACTGTATAAACGATATTTCAACAAGCAATACTAATGTAAAAAACCTTACTTGATCATGATTTTTTCATTTTAAACTAAAGGTAGTAAAAAGTCGCAAGGACAAATTCTTTTTTTTTAAATTATACATAAATTAAGCAATATGACATGTAAAAACATGCATGTATGAACTAATATCTGTTCTATTGTAAAGTCCTATTTGTTTAATTTTTCTATCATGAGTTTTTTGAGTAGGCTGACAAAAATTTTTGACCAATCCCATGCTTGTATTTCAAAGGATTTAATCATATCATCAGATAGATTCTTATTTCGCATAATATGATAAAGATCTAAAAATCTTTTCTATAATTGTTCAATATCTTTTCCTCACTACCCTGCAATAAAAGAAGATACTGGAAATTTTTCTAAAATTATTTTTTTTGCTAGTCCTATTAATAATGTCTATTTAAACTTTGCTTCAGATATTTCAGGATCATAAAATTGAAAAGTTATACCAATTGATTGTATTGATAACTCAATATGTTGTCAAATAGTTAGATTATTAGTACTACTAGTAGAATTTAGTAAACGATTAAAATGTAGATTTTTTATAAGCTCATAAAAAAAATATTCTAATAAGATATCAGCAATTCGCAACATTAAGTGCAATTCATCAGGAATAAAATGTTCTAATGAAATACAAAGTAAAAGATTTGAATGTTTGCATCCTATTATTAAAAATAAGTAAAATAAGTTGCATTTAAACAAAAAGAAAAAAGAAAAATAAAGAAAATTCTATTTATATTAAATTGTACCTTTGGTATTAACTGAGTTTATCCAAGTTAGATTCATATCCCAACGTACATTTTGCTCACAATTACAATAAAGACAAAAAAAGTTAGAAGTTGTAGTATTAATACCTATGACTAAAGTAGCAAACTTCTAGTCACTTGAAAACCAAAATTCTATGGGCCATATATTGCTATCTAGATCACAAAATCCATTTTGCAATAAGTCTTTTAATTATTTAATAAATAGTTCAAAAACAAGATCTAGTGATCTTAGTGTAGTGGTTAGGTTGCCAGACTGCCATGCAAAAGGTCTGGGGTTCAAATCCTATTGTCGACAAATTTGAATAATTACCTAGACCTTTGTATCCAACTTACGATAAACTCTGTCTGTTTCTGGAGTTGTAACCCTGTAAATCACGTTGTACCAATATCATCTGGATATTAGAAGTGTGACGAGGCATTTGGCAAGACATAACATTACACAAATAAATCTTGATAGGATCTATGAGCAGAGGATCTGCATAGTAAACATCCCAAGTAGGTGAAGTAGTACAGCTTTCAACGGTCACACTGGCTAACACTTGATCAAGAAAGGAAACTATAGTCAAAAGATACAGATCGAGTCAGGTGCGCATAAATACGTTCCATAGTGAGGATCAGTAACACCAACCTGACTTAGTGGCTAACTAGATTGAGAGGATCTGCCTTGTGAAACATCTAAGAAAATAGAATACAGAAAACTGGTGGAGAGCTGAGGTAGGAACTGGAGTTGTACGAATATCTACAAAAGTCTAATCTAGGTGATCTCGTAAAATAGGTACAGGCTGCTCTAGTAGGTTTGCTTCAAGGTTAACTGGCTCTGCAATACTAGTAATGCGTCTGGTATAGTGTATTCTGAGAGGACCTAAACTGATTTGAGTAAATGAATCTGTAATGAGCTAGCTAGCTTAAGCAGTTAGGTATTGCGATGACGTTAGATTTGAATCTGTATAGGTTAATGAACAGAGTATTTAAATAGATAACTTACAGGCGGGTTACAAATATAGCAGCATAGTGTAGAACCAATCAGGTGGTCTAATTGCCTGTGCAGTGGACTACTTAAAATAGATAATGACTAAAGTTGTACATATGGCTTGTTGTACACTCTTCATGTAATTATAAATAGTAGGGATTATCAATATATAATCCTGTATGCAAATACTAATAAAATCCCATCGGCAATGTAAGCCACCTTAAACAACAAAAAAAAAAAAATAAATAAATAAATAGTTCAAAAACTATTGCAAGTAATTCATATTTTTCAGTTCCAATATAAAGACAAATACTATAATTAGCTTGATATTAGTATAGTATCATATAAATATACAGTATATTATAAAATAAAATTAATATTTATGCTGATTATCTGAATACAATACTGCTTCCTTTTCATTAAGAATGCATATAGTAAATAATACATGATTTTGTTGATACCCTACTTGATGCCCATCACTTCTAAGCTTGATTTTAATTATATCATTATAAACTAAAACTAGTAGCTCTAAAGCTACTAAATAAGATACTAAAACACTTAAAATAGACTTAATTGTTCGATAAATACTATTTTTAATATTATTTGAAGTAAATAAATTGATTGGAACTTTGTTGTTTATAAAATTATTAATTTCTACTCGCTGTTTGCTTATTAAATATTCACGAACCATTTCAGGAATTACTGCAGCCAATTGTCATAAACTATCTCTTGAAACTAATGTATTATCACAAGTATAAACAATAGAATCAAGATATTCATTTGTAGTATCTGATTGAAAATTAAACTTAATTATATCATTCTTGTATTAAAGATTAACACTATCTATTTCCAATAATATTGCATTATGTTTTAAAAATAATGTTTGTACATTATCTTTAATATCATTTGCAAGTAATTTAAGTCATCTATGTATACGTAATAAAGATAGTTCTTTTAAAGGTTTTTTTTTAGATGCGCTTGAAGAATTACATCGCTTTTTCAAATATTTTAAATCAAAAGCAAATAATCTTACTCCTGAAATACGTTTATTAAATTTTCCTAATTTCTATAAATTATTTAAATATAGTATATATTTTAAATACTATATATTAAAATATAATTAAATATAATAATTACCTGTAAAAACTTGTCATTTACATTCATTGCAGAACTATAACTTGTAACATATTGATGTGTTTTACTATTGTCAATCCAACTTATTGTATATTTTACTAAATTATCTTGATATTGAGTTTTGCATATAATCTGAATTTTATACATGGTTAATAAAAATGAATAGTTATCCGGTATTGAATAAGCTGTTCTATTAATTAAATTGTGTTGTGTTTTAATAATACTTAAAGGATAAAAACCAAGTAAAAGAATATTATATATATAGTTGGTTCTTCGTTAACTTTCTATTCTTATAATATAAATATATAGATAGTTGTCTTTAACCAAAATTTGCGATTTTTTGTTTTAGTTAAAACTATCAGTTGATTTTTGTATTTGAAACAAATAATTTTGAGGTGCAAAACATTTTCTGGTATTGGTATTGGTATTTGTATCTGCATCTGCAATATCTGTATTACTATTATCATTATTCATTACATTCATTATGTGATTAAACAAAAGTGTAATTAATCAAAAATATAATTAATCAAACACAAATTGTGATTATTTAGAAAAAAATCAGATTTTTCTTGTTTTTTTCTTTTTAGAACGATCTGCTATTGATTCACGATTTCTAAAATTAGCAATAAAAACATATATATTTTAGCAATTTAATTGGTCAGATTTAGAAAATTGATGTGCAATTCAAATATATCACATTATAAAAATGCACTAGATTAGCTCATATGAAATTTGAATAATTATTCAGACTTTTGTATTCAACTTATAGTAAACTCTATTTGTTTCTAAGAGTTATATTCTTGTAAATTATATTGTACTAATATTAATTAAATATTAGAAGTATAATATAATATTTGAGTTATATTACATGATAAGATTTATAAGCAGAAGATCTGCATAGTAGAAATTCTGAGTTTGATGAAGTAGTACAGATTTTAATAGTCATACTAGTTAATGTTTGATCTAGTAAAAAAATTAGTATACAAAAGATATAGATTAAATAGATATGAATAAATCTACTATATAATATAGTCTAGTACTTGTATAAGTAGCAATACTAACTTGGCTTGATAGCTAATTAGATTAGGAAGATTTATTTTATGAAATATCTAACTAGAATCTTAAAAAACTAATCTAGTAAAGAGTTACAACAAAAACTAGATTTATATGAATATTAATAAGAATTTAATCAAGATAAATTTGTAAAATAAGTATATAACTACTCTAGTAGAAATTATTTTTAAGATTAACTAGAATTCTATATACTCATAATATATTAAGCAATATGTATTCTAAGAGGATCTAAGTTATGCAGTAAATAGATCTATAAGCAAGTTAGCTAGCTTAAATAGTCAAATATAGTAGTAATATTAGTTTAAAATAGGAAAAAAGGTTAATAATTAGAGTATTTAAATAAGTAACTCATAGGCAAGTTGCAGATATTACATCATAGTATAGAACTAATAAATAATCTATTATCTATATAGCAAACTAGTTAAATTAAATAATAACTAAAGTTATATATATAGCTTATTATTTTTTTTTAAACTTAGGCGATCTTGCCTATCACTTTATTAAGGAAAGCTTAACAAAAAGCTGAATGATAATATACTATAAAAACTATACTAAGTTACCCTCCTAAGTACTGATCCGAACTCATTCAGGTGCCTAAATATGATCTGCTGCAGTAACAATTTCCCTCATAAAAAATATTAGACTACCTGATAGCCTATTTGCTTCCTAATCCCAGAGAGGCTACTACTAACCCATATCAAGACTACCTAGTCTTTTCTTAAAAACTTTTTCTATCTATATTCTAGCAGAATAAAGAAAAATATAGTTCTATGAAGGGACAATATAGGAGATGAAGAAAAAGGGGAGAGAACAAAAAAGATGAAAGTAACTAAAAATCTATATAGAAAAAAAGAAAAAGTAACAGAAACAGATGAAAAAAGTAAAGAAAAAAAGACTATCACAGTCTCGATATATACGAACAAAAAGAAAGAAAAAAAGTTGCAGCAAAAAGAGATGCTACATGAAAATAAAAATTATATAGTACTCTGAATAAATGAAGCCTTTACTCTAAATCTATTGTGTACTATAATAAAAACTAGTAGTGTGAAAAAATTAAAAAGTTATATTAAATATTTTTTTTAAAAAAATTTAGAGATTTAGAATTATCTTATATTGCAGATCATTTTATATAATACAAATATATAGAAGATAGTATAAACAAATTTTTGTATTTTAACTAATAAGATATATTATATGCTAACTAATAGAAAAGAACTATACAAGATTCAAACTAGAAAGAATATAGACAAATAGAAGAAATAATAAAAATACTCTTTCTGATGATCTTTAAAACCAAAAATAGCAGAAAAGAAAAAAAAGACTTTTATTATATAAATATACTCTATCTTTAAACAAAATATTTACAAGTAAAACTAGAGAAACTAGAAGTTTAGTAAAATATATCTTGTTGATAAAGAGTAGGCTATGAGCTAAGCATGAATTATTAGCACTTTAGAATATTTTATTGTTTAAAAAAAGCTCTTAGAATATAAAAGTCACAAAAAGTTTTTGAATAGAATTGAGTATAATAACTTCTAGTATTTTTTCAAGTTATTTTAGGATCATTTATTCTTACTTCTTTCACTACAAGCTGGTCTTAAAGATTGCTTTAGCTGTTTAGCTAATTTGGAGTTTTTTTTTCAAACAAAAAGTAGAGATCTAACTTGCCTCTTACTGATAATTAGCATATACATCATTACTATTTTAGAAGTAGCTATATTGTTGTTTAACAACAAATATATATAGTTATGTTATAGTTTAAGCTATTACTTTAGATTACAATATTTATATGAACAAGCTCTATATGTATAGACAAAAACTGAATAGACTTACTAAAACTATATAGATATATACAAATAAGTGCAAGTTATATATATAATTTTTAAATATCTAGTCTGAGTTCTTATTTCTTATTAAGTTAAATTTAGAATTAAGATACTTTTCTTTTCTTTTATTTGTTTTCATTTTTCTTTTTACTCTTTGTATTTTTTAACTATTTTAAGATTTTTTAACTTGCTTGTAAGTTTTTCTTTAATATAGTTTTGAACTTATGTTATTACCTAGTATATACTTAATACTTTCACTAGATATAACAATTTTATTATATTTTATATAGTCTAACTCCTATATAGTCAGATAAAGTTCTTAAATTTCTTTTTTTCTTTTATATTAAGAAAATTTTCTAATATGACAAGTTATATCTGAGTACACAAAGAAGTATTAGGTAGTATTTCTTATTAGGAATGAGAAATAACATAAGAAATTTTTTTTAGACTAGTTATCTAATTGTAACTTCATAGCTTCATAAATAAAGCAAGTATGACTGTTAAAGGAAAAAAAAAAATAGAAGAAATTATAAAGAATTTAGAAAAAAAAATATAATTATTTTGTAAAATAGTATAAATAAAACAAAAAGCAGAATAGTATATAAAGATAGAAGTAAAGAAATATATTATATAGAACTAGCAAAAAAAAGTCAAATATCAAAGCCAGAAAAAATAGCTAGATTTAAATCTTTGCTTAAAAAAAAGAACATCAAAAACTAGAAAAATTATAGAAAAAATAGAAGAAAGTTATATACAAATAGATGAATATATAGTAAGAATCATAAGATTAAAAACTAAGATAATTATAATAACTAGAAGCTAGAATAGAATCATTAAAAAAATAATTATAGAAGAAGAAAAAAAGGTTTTGAATATAGTATTTAAAGAATTTGAATAAAAGCTAATAGTAGTAGAAGAGATAAAGAGAAGAAAAATAAATTATATATTTAAAGAAAAGATTTAATAACAGAAGAACAAAGAAGTAAAGAAGAATTGCAGAGTAGAAATAATAATAAACTACAAAAGTTAAAGATGAAATTTAAAAAGAACTTTCTTGCAGTATAAGAAATAAAAGAATCAAGAAATGAAGATAATTATGTAAAATTAATTTTGGTACAAAAATTAAAAGATTTAAATAGAAGATTAGAAGTTAAAAACAAAACTGCTATTAAAAAAATAAGTAAAAAGAAAAAATAATTTAGCTTTAGCTCAAAACAAATCTTAATTATTTGATCAAAAAAGTATTATAAAATATACAAATAACAAAATTAGTTATCTATAAAGAACTTGAAAGTTTAGCTCTTTATACAGAAGATATAATCTTAGAAGATACAGAAAATACTTTTTTAAGAAGATTATAATTAAAGATAAATAATACAAAAGAATATTAGAGAAAACAAATAAATTATATAGTAATAAACTACAAAGAACTAATCAGAAATATACTAGAAGATAGCCTATGAGTTTCTAGTAAGAATATATATAAAAGATTAGAGAGTATAAAGCAAAAATTGCTTTAGTAACTCTGCTAAAAGAATTTAAAAAAGAATGAATTAGATTTGTAAAAAGAACAATCTATAAAAGTAAACATATTAGCAAAATAAAAAAGTACTTTACAAAAGATAATACCTAAATAGTTATTAGTTTTAACTACTTTAAAGAAATTAAGTTATTAAAAGAAAAGATAAAGAAAAAAGAAATTGAACAATACAAAATGCTTTTTGAAGAAGATATACTAGAAAAGAATTTTAGATTTATACTTGTTAATAAGCAAAAGATATAAAAAGAAAAAGCAAAAAAAAGATAATAACAGAGAAAGAAATAGTCAAGAATAAAACAAAAAAGAAAATCTGAATACAAAAAGCCTTTGCAGAATCTTCAAAATCAAGTAAAAAAAAATTAGTTCAAGACTTAAGTAAATAAAATAATATAAAAAATTGTAAAAAGCAAAGATATAAACAGATACTGATAAGAAAAGATATAGATAAGAGTACTAATAAATTTTCAGTTTAAAGGTCTGGCGATCTTAGTGTAGTGGTTAGATTATCGGACTGTCATGTAAGAGGTCTGATGTTCAAATCTCACTGTCAACAAATTTGAATAATTTCTCAGACCTTTGTATTCAACTTACGATAAAACTCTGTCTATTTCTGGAGTTGTAACTTTGTAAATCACGTTGTACTAATATCAATTAGATATTGGAAGTGTGATGCAATATTCAAGTTACGTTGCATAAATAAATCTTGA